TCAGATGGTGAGCCAAGGAAAAAATTGTAACATGGCAAAATGTGGGCACAAGTTATACGATCGAGTCCACCAACTAAACCAGATGTTGCACAGTCAGACGTGCACAATCTAGCACAGAACTGACAAGGAGTACTGAGACATTCCGCGGCATGCAAGTCAGCTTGAGCACTGTTCGATAGCGCTAAACGAACGGCCTTCTTTACTTGGAAGATTCAGTATGTCCCTTCCCTTTCCATATTTTAAAAAAAAATCAGTGAGACTGAGTTTTGCGCATCCTTAGCAACGCAACCACTCGCAACGATCAAGGCGTAGATGAATCTCCCATACCAGTGAGCAGTGGGTTTATACCCGCCACGGAAGTGGTCAAATACCGAAAGTCCCATCCACTGCATTCATATTACCGACGAGAAAATGTTCCCAGGATCCCATGCACCGCATTTGGATTGTGTTCGTGTGATGGAGAAAGTTTTCAGATAAATGCTGGCTTTGTCTTCAGCTGTATGTAAAAAAGGAAACCTGGGACTAAAAGCTAAACACTCTCCAAGCAGGAGTCATGTGTAGCTGTGATGCCGCTAACAAGCCATGCTGACAACAGTTGTGACTGTCAATTCCGGGATAGAATTGAACATGATATTTGGCTTAAAACTTTGTAACATGGAAATTTTGGGCACAAGTTATGCAATCGAGTCCACCAACTCAACCAGATTTTGAACAGTCAGACAGTCAGTCGATCGCATAGCTTGTGCCCACAATTTCCATGTTACAAATAGTTGGCTTAATGCATACTAAATGTGAAGATCGGGTTTAGAGACAGATTGAATATAACTGACAATTTGTTTTCCCCCGAAGAAGTGTCGTTTTATCCTATTTCCACTGTAATAGGTGACCTGTAGAACCTTGTCGAGGCGATGCCGGAAAACTCGAGCCGCAAATGATCACACTTGATGCACTCACTTTAGAGTTCAGTCAAAAATGTGGCTTGACAGATACCGAAAGGAATCACATTCTCCTGAAATAATTGGCATTAATTGCCCACCTGGAAAGCTACCAAGTGCTGTGTATTGGCTGATAATTAAGTGATAATGACCTGTCGCTCATAGTGCAATCACTGCCACCACCTACACACCCACTCTTCGGTGGTATTCAGGTGGTCAGACCAACTAACCAAATCATCACATGCACGCACATGCACACTTTCTTTCTCTTGCAAACACACACACACACACACACACACGCACACACACACATGCACACACACATACACACCTTTTTTCGTTTTGACCTTTTGACACCCATCGCAGGAGGCGATGATAGCGATGCTACGGCTTCTGCTACGGCAGAAGCCGGCAGAAGCCGTAGCAACTTGTACCGGGATTTCACCATTCAACAGCTTGCAAGGCTGAAGACTTGACCACCACTATTCAGCCTGGTCTACACCACACAGCTATGAAGTGGCTTTTCTGGTCACTGAATCCCTACTTTTTGATCTTTTTTCCATTTTTTCCCGCACGCATATCACACCAAATACTCCAGCATGCACAGGCTGTTGGTAGCCACCCAGGAGAATGAAAGAAAAGTCAGAAGGAGTCTGAGAAAGAGAAGAAAGACGTGTGTGACCATAATTGTTGGGAAATTGGGAATCGAACCCGCAACCTCTCGATTGGAAATCGCCGCACATACCACTGCACCATACTGTAAATAAATTTCGGCGCTCCAAAATTTCGGCACTTCACGATTTTTGACATTTCGGCGGCGATTTATTTTCGGCGTGGGGTAGAGGGCATGGTATAGTGCGACAGATGCTGTGAAAAATTTCATCGGCGTTTTAATTTAGGCGTTTTGGGTCGGTGCCGAATATAGCCGAAATTAACAAATAGCTGCCGAAAATTTGTATGGGACACACACACACCCACCCACACAAGCTAGAATTCATATTGCATGAAGTGACCCTCTCATAGGCCTTAGGGTGTAGCCTGAAAGAAGTGTCCAATGCAGATGTACAATAATTTATTAATTAAGATGGGTGGTACGAAATGCCCGCTTATCAGAGAGATTATGCCATTTTGGATGTATATGCTGGTATTTATGATCCTGCTCATTTTGAAAACACACCCTGGGCTTTGTGGACGTATACCACCAGTTCCACTAAATTACAAGAGAACAACGCTACAACGTTAGAATTGCCGCTAAATTATCGCAAGTGTAGAGAACGAGTCCAATACAAATGAAAACCATGAACAGACTGTCCCGAAGTTATTTTGGGAACAAATTGTACTACATGTACTTGCTGATACTGACGCTGACGGAACACGAATTTGAGTTGAATACTCACGAAGTCTTGTACATGTACATCATTATGCGCCGGTGTTGTGGAGTAAGCAGGTACGTCAGTCACCAATCCAGCTTCAGCTCCACGCTCGCTTCAGCAGAATGTTGCCCGCGTTTGCTTTGCCTCCACACGGATAGACGACCAGCGCAGAGTCCCGCAGCTCCGTGGCCATAAGGTCTTGATATTCGCGGTTAGCGCCGTCCAGTCTCAGTCCACCTCTCACACCAAGCCGCCCTATGAAAATCTTTCTCTCTCCATTGGAGTGCTCCCCAGTTGCGCGAGGAGACTAGAGAAATTCCTCCGGTGAGCGAGGAAGAAGAGCGGAGTTACCCAACTCAACCAGTAATTTAGTGGAACCTGTATTGAGTAACTGTATTGTATGTTTCGTTACATTGTCGACAGATCTCCGGTGTACCGGTTTTGTGGCACAATGATTATAGCCATTATATTTTGTCGTCTCCATTCTTGTGCAATCATGCATATGTAGGTTGGTTCTCTTCATGTTATTGTGACCTATTTCATAGATGTTGGTTGCCTTGTTGCTTTCTCTCCCCTCTCCTCTCACCCAAGCCATTCTGCATAAGCGAAGCTGTGGACGCAGCATACTGCTGCTACACTTCAACGCGGGAATGCGTATAATAATAATAATAATAATAATAATGTAAATAGGCGTCGAGGCGACAATAGTTTTAGAATTGCGATCAACAGAACGAGCTGAACCGACATTTCACAAAGGCTTTTATTGTTTTCAAAGCAACACACTCCTTTACACATTATCCCACGTTATCCCACGTAGCGCACAACTGGAGCGTCCCACGCGGGGAAGACCCCGTAAACAACCACTACCTCCGCCAACACAGGACCTAGCGTCCCACTCGGCAAGTCCACCATTGGCTCCCGTGGCCATGACCAAGTCACTCCCTCCACCAGCGGAGGTGGATGTGGCTTCGGCGACGCCACGTGTGTTGCATGCAGACACGTTTGCATCAGCATCGCTTGCTGCATCACCGGCAGAGACGACAAAAATACCTACCTCAATATCAACGAGACCCAGAAGAACAACTGCTAATTACACCATGACCTATTTCAGTACGGAAGTACCGAGCCAACGTAATACACAACAGGAACGTGAGACGAGGGATGGGAGGAGACGGGACCTGATTGCTCCGAGGCAGGACGTCGTTGAGGAGGATTCGGCCAGTGAGTCCAGTGATTCCGGTGAGTGTGAGAGCGAGAATGATTGTGTGAGTAAGAGTGGGTGCGAGCGTGTGTTTTCTAGTAGGAAGTCATCAGTGTATAAGCATCTTGCATCTCGTCCTGATTGTTGCAAGGTGTATTCTGATTCTTCTTTTTCTGTTTTGTGCCGTGCTCGTCATGGTTATAAGTTGCAGTTGAGTGTGTTAGAAGCTGTTTGTCAACGTATTCATAAGCCTGATCTGTGTGTCCAGAAGGACAGCATTATTCGTTTGAAATTGTTTTAGGGGCAGCTTGTTCTGTCGGTTTGGCTCTGGTTGGCCATGGTGTCATATCTTGTGTCACAGTATACTAGTAGTCCTTACAAGTTCGTTAATTGCTTTCGCAGTTTTTCCTGTTATTACCTTAGTGCTAGGATTATCATTTTCATAGGTGTTGTTTCTTCTCACTCCATTTCTCTTTATTAGTATCTTTCTGGATTGTTTTTCATTAGTACAACGTAGCTTCCTGAGGAGTGTTGTGCGAAAACTAGTTCGAAGTACAAATTTTTTGTTCATCATTTTTTTCCATATCACATTTTTTCTTTCTTCCACGTTCTTCACTGCCTTCGTATCCACTCGTTTTTTTGAAAACAATAAAAGCCTTTGTGAAATGTCGGTTCAGCTCGTTCTGTTGATCGCAATTCTAAAAATAATAATAATACCAATATTAACTGGTTTGAGGGAAAGAGACAAACGGGAAAAGTCTGAAGAAAAAATTGACTGTCACCACCAGGACTCGAACCAGGGACCCTCGCTTGTAGCCAGCGATGCTCTAACCACTGAGCTATGGTGTAGTCGTCATCCAAGCAGAGACCGTTCAACGTTTTCTTCAGACTTCGTAACTCACACTTCCTGTGAATCCACACAGGCGGGTGGGACGCAGCCCTCACTGTAACCCACACACTTCACGTACAAACTAGCACGCGGGGAGCCCCAAGTCATAAAATATTAACTGGTTTGAGGGAAAGAGACAAACGGGAAAAGTCTGAAGAAAAAATTGACTGTCACCACCAGGACTCGAACCAGGGACCCTCGCTTGTAGCCAGCGATGCTCTAACCACTGAGCTATGGTGTAGTCGTCATCCAAGCAGAGACCGTTCAACGTTTTCTTCAGACTTCGTAACTCACACTTCCTGTGAATCCACACAGGCGGGTGGGACGCAGCCCTCACTGTAACCCACACACTTCACGTACAAACTAGCACGCGGGGAGCCCCAAGTCATAAAATATTAACTGGTTTGAGGGAAAGAGACAAACGGGAAAAGTCTGAAGAAAAAATTGACTGTCACCACCAGGACTCGAACCAGGGACCCTCGCTTGTAGCCAGCGATGCTCTAACCACTGAGCTATGGTGTAGTCGTCATCCAAGCAGAGACCGTTCAACGTTTTCTTCAGACTTTGTAACTCACACTTCCTGTGAATCCACACAGGCGGGTGGGACGCAGCCCTCACTGTAACCCACACACTTCACGTACAAACTAGCACGCGGGGAGCCCCAAGTCATAAAATATTAACTGGTTTGAGGGAAAGAGACAAACGGGAAAAGTCTGAAGAAAAAATTGACTGTCACCACCAGGACTCGAACCAGGGACCCTCGCTTGTAGCCAGCGATGCTCTAACCACTGAGCTATGGTGTAGTCGTCATCCAAGCAGAGACCGTTCAACATAATACCACCAGTTGATATGCGACCATTTGACTTGCCACCATTCTTGAGACGGAATTCCTTGCCTGATCATGATCTGCTAATTACATGTAGCTTTCAATGATGCGGACCAACTTTCTGCACCACCAGCTGTAAGGGCCGGACCGCTTACTCACAGAGTCCAAGGATTGATATTATGATATTAGAGCTGAGATGATGATCCGAAATTCCACTCATAGCAGTGCACATGAACTCTGTTGCCCGCCCCCCCCCCCCCCCCCCCATTGAGATTATGCGGCTATGTCATCTTCAAAATGATCAGCACAGTGCACAGTGTCGTATTTACTCAGATGATGAGCCCCACCCGAACGTTCGGTGGAATATAAATTGATTTGATTAGAAGTAAAGATACCTTATTGGAGTTGAGAAGTGAAGTCTTATACATATCGGTAAGTGGCTGCATTTGAGTTTGTGGAGGATATGAAACGTTTGTAATGTCGTCATTCGAATCTTTTCGCTTTTTGTAGCGCGAAGTGTTAGTTCGATCGGCTGGTCATTGCACTCACTACGTTTGGTACGTCGCACCGGTTCTACACTCTATGGGTAGTTGACTCACTGTCACTGAGTACATACTAGCATGGAGGTTATGCAAATACAGCATCAGCTGTTATGCTTTGGTAAAGCTGTGGCCACGCAATAGCTCAAACCAAACCGCCAACTGGCGCTGCGTACATAGCCCTGGCTTTAGCCCTCACAAGCGAATCGCTAGTGCACCACCATGACATCGTTTGCATAGCCTCTGTACTGTCGTACTACAAGTCCTAGCTTGTTCATTAGCATCATTATGGAGGGTTTTTGACATATTTTGTGTTTGAGCTCCCGAGCACCTTTCGTGCCGCGAACCTAAATGCATACTTTCGCAATTATTTTCGTTCAGAAAAGTATTCAGAACATAAGTTGCATATTCGTGTCAGGCAGTCATAAGTTTAGTGTGTTGCAGATGTCTGTGTAGTGTACGCATGTACAACCTGCAAAGGTCATGCAAGAGCGAATTCTGCTGGCTAATCCTCACCACAACTCAAACTATTTCGTCGCTGAATTCGTCTTTATAATTGGAGTGCGAACGCGAAATTCATCTTGCTAATCCCCCCTATTCTCAGCTGGGGGCACAGATCATCAGCGTCCAATTTACTGCCCTTTAGTAGAGTGTATGGCATGCCTCTACCAATGAACCCTGGCACTATGTCAGCGACATCAGTTTATAATAGAACTCAGTTAGTCAGACAATGCAGACTAGAGGCAGGACCAGACCGGCGGAAGCAGTTTTCGATTGGTCCTGCCATAAGCTAGCCTCTCATACTTTCATACATTTTTGAGTTTTTGTATGCACATGACCTCGCCAACACACACACATTGGTGGCCAAATGGTTGGTCCTTCCGATCCATGACCTGACCAACGTTTCCATCAAGCCATATCTTTCTTGTAGGATTCTACTAGCAAGCCCCAAATTTCTCCTGAAAGCAAGCTTATAGGTGTTCTTGGTACAGTAATGCACATGTAGATATTTTACTCAGTCGGGTTCTGGCTCTGGCCTGTCTTTTACTCTATTTGGTGTGTCCTTTTACATTGTGCATTTATCTACTCCTCAGTCTCAAACAATATGAGGACAGAGAAAGTGTTTTCTGATGATCACTTTATAATAGTGCGTGAAACTCGAAAAACACTTTCTCTGTCCTCCTATTGTTTGATACAGCTCTACCACTTGGTATTGAGCACTCTCTTGGACAGCCTGGAACCTCTCTGTTTTACTGCTCAGTCTCCTGAGTCCTGGCTGTACATATACACAGCACAGTGGTGCAAAAATCAGCATGATGACACAGACCTCTATGCTCATCAATCATCATGATGGTGCAGAGACGTCTATGACTGTACTCATCTTGTTGGCGCAAAAGTCTAGTCTCTGAACTCCCTGGCCCAAGGTGTGCTGATCACAGAGTATCGCCTTCCCACAAGCTGCAGTGATTAGGATGACAAGTCTCATTCAGGTGACACTGACTAGAGGTTGATAGGCAGCACTGAGTGGATGAGTACATAACACGTGTCCACACCAGCACTAACAGTACAATGACTTGGGCGTTTTTTTTATTTCCATAGCCAATGACTACTAGTATGTGAACCATACTCAGTGTGCATTATGTAGAATGACTGTGATTTTAGTTCAGTAACAGATGAAGGTCACACTGAGGCTGTCACAAAAACTGTAGACCCGTAACAAATGGGCATATGTGTGCAGGAGGGCTCATCAACCCCAGGCAACAGCCTTGAATGAACAGGTGCAAGGCACACACACACACACACGCAGCTCACCAATCAAGCTAACTGCCCACACTCACTCACTAGTGGTGAACACACTGCGGAGGCTGCACCAACAAGAAAACTGCTGACTACTGACAGGCTACTAAATACTAGTATTGTGTTACAGTTCTGCTCTCAAGACACACTCTGGTACACTAACAGTAACACAAGACGTGTACAGACAACAGTACAATCAGTCATGTCACTCATGTACACAAAACAATAGACAGAAACGAAACGGAAATTTGAAAGTTTGATCTAACTACTCCTAACTACTTACTCTGAGAAGAGTACAGACTGCCTTTCCCTGAGAATACATGTACTAGTGACAACCTTTCCCATTTACATGTGTTGTGATAACCGGTAAAAGAAAGGCTAGTCAAGGTTGGAAGCGCTCCAGCCCTTCAATCACCAGCAACAGGAAGCTCGCAGCACACATGTACTGCATACGTTATCAGCAGATACCTGAACAGGAGTGGCTCTGACTACAGCTGTAGTCTGAAGAAAGCCAGGCAGTTCCATCATCGACTCGTTTACGTAAACGATAGGAACCAGGTGCTCCGCAGCTTGTGCTCGCCTAGCCACAAGATCACCAGCTGCGTTCGACAGTTCTTCCCGCGTTCAGTATCCAACCTTCCGCATCACATCCCTAGCCCTGTCGATCCACAAAGGCACGGTCGGTGTCTCAAACTACATGCAGTTGATCTCAGATAATTATTACTGTACTCGAGTCGGAGCTACTCGCGAAGTCATACAATGTCATGATACATCGATTAGATGTGTTGCGAACAAAGGACGTCTTACGATTCGTGTCAAGTCAACACTCCGGATTCACGATCGATTTTCAGAGCTAGACGACGGCTTTGCGCAGTGCGCTGTCCTCGAAGTGACAGCGGATCTTCAGATGCATGACAGCCGTATCCCACAAGCCATTCCCACTGGCAAGGATCGTCAATGGTACGATCGACATCTCTTTACCAGATGCACCAGTGAAGGAAAGCAGGTGGAAAGGTCCGGTCCGCTTCCACACGGCTCGACATCACACTGACTTGAACTGCTTCTCCGTACTGTAGGTACTAGCAAGAGTCCATAAACAAATGGTACTAGTATCAGAGTTTTACGAGGTACTCTAAAATGTCGTATTCCGTTGAATGTCCAACATAGCAGAGCACAATGCGCCGCCTTTAGACTTAGATCTACTCAACACGAAGGACGAACTCTAATTTAAAAATAATATTATAATTATACGAAGCAAGGCGATAGCCCAAGCTTTCAAACTTTTTGACAGGAACATGACTTTCACTATCTCACTATCTTACTCCGACCCGAGGCATCATCGCGAAACACATGTCATGTAGAAGCAAAAGCAATGTGATTTCCGATTTCCAAAAGACAGCGTAGCGCGACATTTCCCCTTGACCTACGCGACACTCCATACTCCAGAGTTAACTCCAGAGACCCAACCATGTGCAATACACAGACAATCATCTCTACTCAGAGCCACTCAATCTTTAGAACATTGGCATCACCTGCTTGCTGGCTCGCAATCATTATAAAATCACCGGCACGCCACTTACCGACTTCAATCTCACGCCAGAAGTACCAGGGGATACACCAGTCTAGAGAGGACACCGGATGACTCGGCGAGAGCAGCAATACAACGACAGCCGTCAGCAGCACACTCCGACAAGCGGAACCTCCGCAGGGTTTTGAAGCCGCCGCCATGGGCATATCAGCCGGTTGGTAAACTACTGTACGAGTCAGTACGACCCTCCGCTGCCGCTCAGCTAGTACTGGGGTTTTCCACAATTGTGTGTCCGAGAGGCTATGGAAGAAACGTAAGCAATGATAAATGTCTCTCACCACGTACCGAAGCGAGCTGCTATGGACAAAAGTGAGTGGCGGTTGAACAAGGACTTTGAAATCTTCAAAGGGTAATTACTGTAGAGTGTAGGTCTACCGGGACAGCGCGAAGAGGACGTCGGACTTCTGCCGTTCTGGGTACTTCTACTAGTAGTAGTACAATCAGACAGTCATGTAGATTGTGGTGGCTAGGTTTTGGAGTACAGCATAGTCCCTACGGCACGCCGCCTGTAGCTAGCACGCCAGAGACCTCCAAATCCGATGGCAATGCGGCAATGGTCTCCGATCACTCATCAGTCCATGTACAATCTAGGATATCCAGCGACGGATGTAGCCGGCACTGGTAGTGGTAGACCTACGTCTACCCTGGTCTACGACCTGGTGACCATCGGCATCGGCGTAGTCCATAGACTCCATACTGTACCTCGACCAGCGCGCTTGCGCAGCGTTTGAGTGTGCGAATGCCGGACCGGAGTGGTGGCGGGAGGTTGGCGAAGCAAAACAAAAACCTACTCATTAATCACTACACACCGTCCAGAGGAGAAAACGGCGCCGCCTGTCAAATCTGCATTCACGGCTGTTTGCATGACTCGTATCTGATCGTCACTGCACTGAGCTGCTCAGCGAAACCCTGCTAGTATAGTAGCTACATGTCTTTTATTTGCTCAGAGTATCGGATTTCACTGCGATACGCAGATATCTAGATACACGACCATGATGACAGTGTACTACTTACTACTAGTAGTAGTAGTAGTCTTTTTCGTGTCATCATGCCGTCAGTAGTACATGTACCTGACTACTACAGTAGTACCTGTCCCAGTCCTTGTACAGACTCTGAGTCTGAGACAGACAGTGTGTTTCACTTACTCTCTGTCCAGTAAATAAACGATGACACAGACCCAGTAAATGCAATAGTTGTGGAAAAGTCTTTTATTTGTTCTCCTGTGTCATTTTGTTACATGTATCGCACATTCGACTGAGTGATTAGGCAAGAACCTTTACGTGTATTGTATATGTATCTTCAATACCGGTATGTATTTTAACTATTTTTTACCGTATTATCTCTAATATAAGCACAGTCTCCAATAATAGCACGTCTCCAATAATAGAACGCCTTGCATGGGGCGGCATTCAAAAAATAAAGTGCTCAGTCTCCATTATAAGCACACTGTGTAAATTCATTATCTGTACCGGCGAAAAAACCCTGAAATGTGTGTCTGACATGAATTTGGCATGGCAGCATGCCTCTGAAATGAGGTTGAAATAATAACGGAACAGTCTCCAATAAAGGAACGTCTCCATTAATAGCACGGGGCGGAGGTACATTGATAACATAAAGGACCGTGCTTATATTAGAGATAATACGGTATTTGTATTGATGGATTCTCCACAGACCTTAGCCTAAATCTTGCTCCGTCTGTTGCCTATCCTGTGTCAATTATCTTGAATATGTCATTTCGCGAAGGGAAATTCCCAGCCATGTGGAAAACTGCGGTAGTCGTGGCCACCTACAAAAATAGAGGACCACGCACCACCCCCAGCAACTATCGCCCTATCTCATTGCTCTCTACTTTATCAAAAGTGCGCGAACCTGTTGTGACATCATTAATTTTATGATCATGTTAGCATTTCACTTTCGCCAGCACAGTCGGGCTTTTGTCGAGGTGACTCCACCAGGTACCAGGTTACCCACCTCGTGCAAGACATCCACACCGCCCGGAACGCCCATAACCATGTTGGTTTGGTTTTCTTCGATCTCGCAAAGGCCTTCGACACTGTTTGGCACAGGGGTCTCTTAGCTAAGCTGCGAACAGTATACCGCATTGATGGCAAGGCAATCGGCTGGCTCTCATCGTATCTCTCTAACCGACATCAGCTTGTACGCCTCTCAACTGTGTTATCGGAGCCTTTACCCGTTACTTCTGGAGTCCCCCAGGGTTCAATCCTTGGGCCACTGCTATTTCTCCTGTATATTAATGACCTCCCCGATATTGCCCCTGGTGTCAGCCTTTTCGCTGACGACACAGCTCTGCTTTGCTCCAATGCTTGCCCTATGTAATAGGTAGGTTCGAATCTTACAAAGGAACGTCGTTAACTTTAACCACCGCGCCACCAGTGTAATACAGATACTAGGTGGGTTCGAATCTAGCAATTATAAAATTGAACCACCGCTGCCACCAATGTAATAGGTCGCCGAGTGGTATCAGGAGGCACACACAAGAAGACTGGTTAATATTATGTTCTTCGGCTCAATCTGCCTGAAGTTATGTATACAACTGCTCCGGCTCAATCTGCCTGGAGGGACTCTGAAAGGAATACAACTGCTCCGGCTCAATCTGCCAGGAGGGACTCTGTTCTGTTCTGTTATGTTCTGCTCTGCTCTGAAGAAATGAGTAAAGCATGGCAGCTTTTATAGGGCGAAAAGGAAGGAGATCATCATAGAGTCTGCATGAGCCATGAGTCATGAAAAAGGGCAAAAGTCTGTTGTGTCAGTCCAAACAGAACTTGGGAAGGCATAGCAACATTATCTAAATGTATAAGGATGAAAGAAGCAAACGGAACTTTGGAGGGGAACAGAGGCCAGGGAGGGCATTGGCAAATGGATGCAAACCGGATCTAGAAAGGGTCATGACTGTCCGCATGACCTCGGTCAGGGTCAGGGAGGTATAGTACAACATGTGGGTGTTAGTTCTACATGTACATACAGGTGCGATGATCTAAACTAGCAAAGATATGTAGTATGCAATCCAGCAAGCGCAAGAGAAGCACAAGTGGTGAGAAGTGATAATAATTAGCTTTGCAGGCTTGTCAGCAAAGGAGTGACAAGAGTCATGCAGTGCGTGTACGTGTACATGTGACATGATTAGAGGTCAGTAGATATTACATAGTACTAGCAAGGCAGGGATACTACACCCTCCCTTCCTACAGATAATCACGCCCTCGTGATTTTTCAAAAGTAAAGCAGGTGTACGAATGATCATTATGGTGAGACAGCATGGCTTGGTAGACGGATAATAAAGTAGGGACCCTGTGTGTATAATGTGTGAAGGACCTGTCTCTCTGTGGAGCGGGAAAAATTTCGGACGGTAAAAAAAGGATGTGTAAAATCGCGTCACTGTGGACGGTAACAGTTCTTCATTCGCGTCTCTCTGGGACGGTACAACGGGAAAAGTAGACTCGCGCATCATGTGGCGGTATATCATGTTACATGGACTGGTTATTTGAGTGCGTGCTTGCAGGGTATACAGTATTTTGGGTCTGAACTGATTGCTTGGTCGTTACGGGGTGGACATGATCGGGATGGGTGATGAAAAGGCTAGGAAACTTTGTGATCAAAACCTTGAGAAAGCGGTTGTACGGAAGCTGCAGTGTGGCGAAATGTTGGGTGATCTAGAACTGTGTACTGCATGTATCTGGACGTACATGAAGGTACATGGAGGGTTGTGAGTCCTAGGTTGTTGATCGAATGGTGGGGCGGGGACTGGGAGTGGGATTGTCTATGGGATGGATTTGCTGAAGGGACGTGGAGGGCCTTGTGTATCGCGTGTAGTGTAGCAATCAAACTAAAGGTGAGAGATGTTAGCAGGGGAACAACTTTGGCAGCAGAACGAGTTAGTGAGAGGAATATGGCAGCAATGATCATGATCACAGAATGGAAACAATCACGGGATGGCGGAGCTTGCATGGTAGGGGTGGCATATGTACTCACGTTAGTAACAGGTGCATTTGAAAGGGTTGGCGATAGAGTTGCGATACAGCAAGTAGGGTGACATACCTGGGTTGAAGTGAAGATGGGTCGTGTCGCGCGAGGACGATAGCAATACGCTATGTCATGGCCAATTTTCTTGCAGGATCGGCAATAGGGACGGAGACGAAAGGGCCGACGTCGCTTGGGTCGTACATATACCGGTAGTACAGGGATATGTCGGAGGGCATGAGAGCTCGCTGGAGAAGTATGGTGATCCACTTTGCCGGAACGCGGGCGTTGCAGCGTCGATCTGCTGTTCGGATGGACTGGCGAACCGGGATTTTGCATCGTTCTCACAATCTCAGATCGTCATGGGTTCAGAAACGCGGTTGGGGCCAATTAACGGTGCTTTCCGCTCATCGTTCGAGGCTGCCATCAAGGTAAAAGGTACTAACAACGAGACTAACGACAACGATTGACTAAGGATGGTAACAACATAACAAGACTGAAGTTGCGTAAACAGATCTACAGGGACGAATTCACGCACCGCTGCCACCAGTGTAATAGGTAGGTTCGAATCTTACAAAGGAACGTCGTTAACTTTAACCACCGCGCCACCAGTGTAATACAGATACTAGGTGGGTTCGAATCTAGCAATTATAAAATTGAACCACCGCTGCCACCAATGTAATAGGTCGCCGAGTGGTATCAGGAGGCACACACAAGAAGACTGGTTAATATTATGTTCTTCGGCTCAATCTGCCTGAAGTTATGTATACAACTGCTCCGGCTCAATCTGCCTGGAGGGACTCTGAAAGGAATACAACTGCTCCGGCTCAATCTGCCAGGAGGGACTCTGTTCTGTTCTGTTATGTTCTGCTCTGCTCTGAAGAAATGAGTAAAGCATGGCAGCTTTTATAGGGCGAAAAGGAAGGAGATCATCATAGAGTCTGCATGAGCCATGAGTCATGAAAAAGGGCAAAAGTCTGTTGTGTCAGTCCAAACAGAACTTGGGAAGGCATAGCAACATTATCTAAATGTATAAGGATGAAAGAAGCAAACGGAACTTTGGAGGGGAACAGAGGCCAGGGAGGGCATTGGCAAATGGATGCAAACCGGATCTAGAAAGGGTCATGACTGTCCGCATGACCTCGGTCAGGGTCAGGGAGGTATAGTACAACATGTGGGTGTTAGTTCTACATGTACATACAGGTGCGATGATCTAAACTAGCAAAGATATGTAGTATGCAATCCAGCAAGCGCAAGAGAAGCACAAGTGGTGAGAAGTGATAATAATTAGCTTTGCAGGCTTGTCAGCAAAGGAGTGACAAGAGTCATGCAGTGCGTGTACGTGTACATGTGACATGATTAGAGGTCAGTAGATATTACATAGTACTAGCAAGGCAGGGATACTACACCTATACGACTGCACGAAGCCATGCAAGATAGCATTGGGAAAGTTATAACCTGGATGCATGATTGGAAGTTGCAGCCAAACGTTGATAAAACGGCAGCTATGTACATTTCCCCGTCTCCCCCTTCCCTGCCACTTTGTTTTCCTTCTTCAAGTGTTGCTATTCGTATTGTTGAAGAGCATAAGCATCTTGGCGTTATTATTGACTCTAAATTGTCGTGGTCACCCCATGTGCAGTATGTCTGCAAGCGCACAAGCTCCATCCTTGGGGCTCTTCAAGCCCACTGTAGACATCTTCC